TATATATATTGTGCTACCTGCTATACATGTAAAATTAAGAAACTTGATAAAACAGAAACCTTAATATATAGACCCTGCTGCTTTTGCATTAGGATCACTGCAGATCATCACCCCCGAAATGTCGATCTGATCAAATCTGATCATCGATCAAACGGAAATAAAAGGTGCAGAAACAGCATGTGGTAGGGCCTTTTTTAGAACAGTAGAAGGGAGAGTTGGACCTGCTAAAAGGTGAGGGAGAAATTATTCACTTCCATATACACTCCTAGAAAAATTAGCTAGGCTCTAATTTAATGAGAAACCATATATATAACCAAAAAATAATGTACGTAGGAGGGAGGAAATACATATATATATATATATTTGAAGGACAGTGATTCGTACATTTTCTGATTTAACACAAACACAATACATTTATTAAAAATAACTATTTTTTAGTTTGAAATTAAAAATAAATAAATTTAAAGATAGAATTATATATGCATGATATAAAAATTAATTGAATTAATTGTATTTATATTATATTTTTAATAATTAAATCAAAAATATATTAAAAAATATATTAAATCAATGATGTACAAATCATCTTCCCTATTTGAATGGGATGAAATTCTAACGTGAAGAAAGATCCAAACCACCAGCCAAGCCTATGGACATATTGCGGGACCAAACGTAACTTTGGCCCAGTTTTAAATGTTAACCCGAGCCTGGACCAACCTTAATTTCAACCTTGCGTAGCCCAAGCACTTTCATTTCCCCTCCAAAAAAAAAAAAACCCCGGACACGTTGGAGAACAGGACAAGCCAGCTCTACTTGCTCTCCAAGCCAAAACTCTCGAGTCCGAGTCTCTTCTTTTTGACTCCTCTCTTGGGAACTTCAGATATGGCGGAAAACTCCTAAAAATTTTGTTCTTAATAGACACGCACATATATTGCAGGGTGTGATATCTCATTAATAAATAGTACTTTTATTTTCGGGTGTTTCGAGGTCAAATCAATGGCTTCTTCGACCTCTGGTACTGAACCAACCAATGGCAATTCGAGCTCAAGCGAATCAGTGAAGTCTCAGATTAATCCTATTAGAATGCCAACAATGGAGGAAGTTCGTGCACAAGAAGTTTGGGATAATTGCGCTGTACGCAGTGTCGTTAGTGGAGTCATGGGTAAGTATCAAAGCTCCCTTCTTGGTATTTCGCTGCGGTGGATAATTAGAATTTGATCTGTTTCTCTGAAATCGGAGCTAATTGATACCTTTCATGTTTTCCTTCTTCTTCTTTTTCACATTTTTTTGTTCAGTTTCATTACGCTGCCTTGCTATCTTGCAGGGGTTTATGAAGGGTTTTAGGGGTTCTGTAGTAAAGCAGATCACTTGATGATTTTCCATGTGTTTTTTGGACATCATTGTAGGAGGTGGATTTGGATTTTGCATGGGTTTGTTACTGGGCTCCTTGGAAAATCCTATAATGGAGGATCAAATGGCTGGCAAACAAAAATTCATTTATCAGGCCAAGCAAATGGGGCAAAGAAGCTGGCGTTCAGCAAAAACTTTTGCAGTCATGGGATTGATTTTCTCTGCTGTTGAGTGTGTCGTTGAAAAGGTATTACTAACAAGAAGCACACAACACATGCACACGCGTATATGTCAATATATTACTTTATTTTCCCATATGGGCTCTCATGTTGAATGATTGTTTCTCCAGGCACGGGCAAAACATGACATGACAAATACAGTTGTTGCTGGTTGTGCAACTGGAGGAGCAATGTCGGCAAGAGGTATATATTCTGTTGATGTCATTTAATGATACATATAAGGTCTCTCTATCACATTTGGAGAAGTTATTTGTATATGGAGTTCATTTCTTGAAATCAAAATATAAAATGTTCAGGAAACCCAGAAGCTTGTAGTTGTAAATGTCTTTTGCCAATGAGTGAATGTTTCATCTTTACTGATATCACTTAGGTTCTTTTATATATCTTGCGTTACTTTCATTAGGTGGAAAATAATCTTATTCCAAAACTTAGTGATGTGTCTTCCATAGAACTGGATGACAATTAAATATTCTTGAGTGCTTCTAGGCTTCCAACACTCTTTAGGATAAAGCTAGAGACTTTTAGTTTTAATATACCTAAAGGCGGCCTCACAGTTTTTGTATGAGAATAATCTTTGGACTTTTTCTTAACTAGAGAAAACAATTCAAAGTAGCATGGCAAGAACAGGTAAAGCAAGGTAGAAGACCTGTTGTGATACTGTTACCCTCTTCTTTATCAAGAAATAACCTCCAAAAAATGTGAATTGACATTGTAGGTCAGCATTTGCTGGAATCTGAGTTTTGCATCTGAGTGGACTTGTCGTAGTATCAGGAAAAGATGTTCAGTTCAAGCTTTGTACTCTTTAGTGAAGTAGTAATTTATTAGAAAACAGCTTAAGTTGAGGCAAAGGAATACGCTTAACCTCTGTTCAGATCCAGAACACCACAGCTTATTCTTGTTACTTTCAGCATCATTCTCATTCTCCACTTTTTCATTGAACTCGATTCCTTTTCCCCAAAATGGCAATTGTAGTCCTTGCTTATTACTTATGATATTGCTCAGGTCATCTTACACAGACCTCTTCTATTGTTTGTTTCTAGGTGGTCCAAAAGCAGCATGTGTTGGTTGCGCTGGTTTTGCAGCATTCTCAGTTTTTATAGAGAAGGTTTTTGATACACATAGTTGATGATGCAATACTAATCCAGCTTCAGTTTTTAACTCATAGATTTCAGAAGAGGTTTCTATCATTATTTTTTGCTTTTTTACTTGAATTAAATTCAATCATAACTATTTAAGGGATCTCTGTCATTGGAAAAACCTTGCACTCTTAAAGTTGTATTTGCTTCAATTGCATCAATTGAGAAAATTTGATCAATATCTAGAAATCATAATCTTATTATTTCAAGTTGATGCATTGGGGATATTGTGAGACGAAGCTGCCACGTGTCATTCTCGACTATTTTTCATACCTATATTCAAATTTCTAAATTTTTCTGATTTTGTTTTATCACATCATTATTGCACAAGTGAGTGAATGATCTAGGCAAGGCAAGGAGGACCCTATATTGGGTCAGTCCTGTCAAAAGTATGAAAGGGAAAGCAAAATATCCACAACCAGGGTCTTTTAAAAGGGCATATTTTGGTCCAGGGCATTTTGCCGGGCCATTTCACAGTATATTTCAGATCAATTCTTCCTAAGCCAGGCAGCTGTTAAGGCAGGAGGTCATGTTTGCACAGTGGAACAACATTATCAGCCTCAGTATGAGAAGCCGACAAGAGCTTCTATATCTTCAGAGGAAGGTCGGTCACTTGGTTATATATGCATTTCTATTTTCATTTCTGAACTGCATATTATATATGTAAACTACACATCATATATGTATTTTTGTTTACTTTTCAAAACTACATAAATCGCCATCATTGACAAAAGTAAACCACAATGGTATTTGAAAATGTATGCATATAGAAAGCGAAAATATGTATATATACACTCAGAAATGAACAAAACTTGGAAAATTGGAAATATGACGAGTGGCTCAAACAGTTGCGTGATTCCTACGCTGTCGTTCGCATCAAGCATCACTATATGGTGAAGGGGATGGTGATGGTGATGGTGATGTGGAGGAGAGGAGGCCTCGACACCGCCACACGATTAATTAAAATATCTCGATATATTCTTTATTTTATTGTTCATAATATTTAAATAAAATATTTTTAAAAAATTAATAATTAAATTTAATATTCTATTTATTTAAATTATGTTAATTTTTAAATTAATTAGATATTTACTTAGTTTATAAATTATATAAAATTTAATATTTAATAAATAATTTTATAATATCATATGAATTATAAATTTATAATTTTACGTGTTATATAAATATAATATAATATTAAATAAATATATAATATTATATATTTATTTAATAAATAATTTTATAAAAATATAATATTTTAAATGTTAAAAT